CTCCTTTGGCCTTCAATCTTTCCCAGCATCAGGGTCTTTTCCAAAGAGTCCTCTCTTTGCAATGGGGCCTGTAGCTTTTCTTTATCCTTGTGGTTAGGTTACTGGGGGCACATTCTGGAAGAAGTTGCTGTTTTCAGGGCCAGTGAATGTTTCATAAGCTACAGAATATTGGGCCTTGTTTTAGCCACAGGGGGGAAATTTGACAGGAGGAATTTTTCATCTCAAATTACCCAATATTGTCCTTCTCTACCCCAGATATGCCTACTGATGAAGAACAGGCCACAGGAATGGAGAGGAAAGTTCTGGACACTATAAAGCAAGGAGTGGTGAGTAAAACCAAGCACAGAAGACTTCTTTGAGCAACGGCACTTTCATATGCCGAAGCAGTTGGCCACAGGGAACCTTGCTCACCTTTCTGGAGGGGCTGCATTTAACTTGACATAACTTACATTTCGAACTTAATTGAAAGGGTCAACTGCTGCTCCTGCCCAAAGTAATGCATCCTCCAGTATAGCCTTGTAGATGAAGATAGGTGATTTAGTCGAGCAACACATCAAGAAGGAAAGCCTCTGACAGAGAAACCTAGACTGCTTCCAGCCTAAGCCATCATTCTTCCATCCTAAGCCATAATTCTTGACTTGAAATTGGTAGTTGGCAGGGCTTGGGCCTGACTCAGTTAATCCTTGGCCTGGGGACTAATTCTCCTGATAATGGCAGAATTGGATAATGAAATGCTCAAGGGTAAAAATCATCAAAGGAGAAAGCTCTGAAGCATATAACTGCTGGTTATTAGCTATCAATAACTTTAGAGTTGGGGAGAAGGATGGCACATTGGCTACATGCTTTAACCTTTCCCCCCCCCCCTCTGCTGGTTGTAGGATCCTTATTGCATTAATCCATCTAAACCATTTGGGGGAACAAAAGACGATCCCCACCTTGTCCCCTCCTTGACCAACGTGAGGCTCGTAGGCTGTATCTGTAAGTACCTCTTCTGTATGAGTTCACCCAAAGTGGCAATTGAGGGATTTGAAATCATGGTTGGAGAAAGTATTATTATTCGTGATGCAGAAAAAATTTTAGAAGGGTGGGGGGTTTATTTATTTAAATTTCTACAGCCACCCATCTCAACCAAGTGACTCGCTGGCTGCAATTTCTTTAGAAGTACAAGGACGGTAAAATATAAACTCTGCAAAGCATTTGAAAAGGACCCTTCAGGAAGGGCGCTGGTGTAAACAAAGCCCCCCTTCTCAAAGCCCTGAAGGGCCACATCCTCTGGACTAGGGTTGAGCAGGGTCTTAAACCACTTTCCACTCAGTAGGGCAGGGTAGCACTTTGGATTCAAAGGCAGTGAGGTGCTTTGAAGCAAACAGGGGCTATCTAGAGCAGTTTTTCTCAACCTCAGCCATTTAAAGATGCGTGGACTTCAACTCTGGAATAATGCTGACCAGGGAATTCTGGGAGTTGAAGTCCACATATCTTAGAAGTGGCTGAGGTTAAGAAACTCTGCTCTAGAGCACCTGTCTGCAGTGCCTCAAAGCAGTTGTCTCTTATGCCAACATTGCGTGACCACAGTTGTAGCTGAATCCCAGGGAAAGACACCCTTGGATTAAGGAGTTGCGAAGGGGCGAGCTGTTGCCCCTCATGTTGTGAAGCACCTTTCCCTTGGCATCTGAAATACTCTGCAGTTCTGAATGTTTGGTCTTTTCCTTCCCAAAACTGACTGCCAAGCATGCTTCTCTATCATTTGTGCAGCCCAGGCCATGAGAGAGATCCCTCTGTAGCCCATTCTTTCCATATGCTTACTGTTTCACTTGTTTATTTCTGCAACCCTATAAATTCTCTGGTTACCAAAATTTGAAAGGGTTCAGACAGGCACGCTGCCTTTTTTCACTTGAGCATAGTTAAGTTTTGCTTGGGTAGTGTGTAACTTTTGCTAACGCTTCTGCAGCATTCTGATAATTTTGTTCCTGCCCCTCTTGTAGGTGAGGAAGATGCCACTGAAACATACTACATTTGGCTTCATATGGGAAAAATTGAACGCTGTCCTTCGTGTGGGGCCCATTTCAAACTGATTCCCTACGAGATGCCGTGATGGGCTGCAAAAATCTTCTGAATTCTTATTTTTTGAGATGCATGCTTGAGCCGAAAATCTGAATAGGTTGTGAGGTCCTGTGTTTTTTGCAACCTAATAAAGTCTTTTGACCCATAGTATAAACACATTATTTGTGTTCTGAGCTTATGGTTAAAACTTGCACTGAAATTAAAAGCACTGAATAAAAATTGGCATTTGTTAGTTTCAAGGCAAGCAGCAGACTTGTTTTCCTGGAATTTTCCTCTGGACTTACGTGAACGCATGGATAGAAATACCATGATCAATGTGGAATCTTCCTCCCAGTGAATGTAAATTATGGATGAAGAGGAGCAGATCACACTTCTGTCAGCCTTTCCCTGTTTGAATCAAGGACGGTAACTGCAGCTATTCTTATACAGGGCTATGCAGTGATTATGGGAGCACTCATGTAGCATCAGCACCTCCTCAAACCAAAAATATCTTTACCTGAGGTTGCTCAGCACAGCTGTGCAAGTCCCAAAAAAGATACACCTTGGGGGTTTTCCCAGTGATTTGAGCGGGTGCTGGAACTCTGAACGGGTTGTTTTGTATTCCGTATAAACATAATTCTGAATGAGTTCTTGGCTTCCCCAGAAGCAAAGCTCTGAATAAAGGCATACAGTAATGGGTGGCAAGAGGACACATGGCGTATACGGGTTTCTGAAAGGAGAAAGCATGTACCATGAAATGAAGTCACTTGTAAGAGTCAGCCTGGATTTGCACAAAAGGCCAAATGAAAGCCTACCATGCCGCCACATAGTTGTGTGTGATACACAAACCCAAACTCAGTCCATTTCCCCCTCTAACTTCAATAACCAGAAGATGAGATGCTGAACCCATAGAAAGGAGCATGGCTGATGTCTGAAGACCCTGCAAAACAGCAAGGTTTGTGGAGGGAACTAGTTGGCTTGTAGAGTCCATCAACGAACTGTTTAAAATAAAAATGCCCCAAATTGGACAAATTACTGTAATTTAATGCTGCCTGACTCAAAGTCACACTTTGGGGGATGATGTGCACAGGTAACCCTGAATCCAAACAGCTGCATTCGTAATACCTTCCTTTAGGCGTTACCTATGGCCTAATTGTTCTGGGGAACCACCGCATGATGCCGAAGGTGGTATCTTCTCTCGTTAATGGCATTCTCCATTATGCTGGGCCTGGAAGTTTGCAGAAATCATTTTCAGGGGTACACTGCTAACCAGCTGGCAGCCAGCTCTCTGGGGCTCTGGCTGTCAAATTTTTGTCCAGGCGCTGTATGAATCCGGAGTTCCCTTCAGGCGACTACATTCTCACTTGCAGCCAGAGAGATTCGTGATTTTCAAAGAATGAAAGCAGCACCCGAAGTTCCAACCCTCGAGTATGAGTGTTGTGACTGCACAGACACGAAAGGCGTGAAGCTCGTGCGAGAGTGCAGTGTTGCCTTTGTCATGTTGAAAGCATCAGATTCTGCTGGTGCCAACGAGTTAAGCTTCAGCCATTACTTTATTCTCTAGCATTTAATTCAGTCCTACTCGCCCCCCCTTAATATGGGAGATTCACCAATCATAGTTAACCATAACTGCATTTCAAAGAAGCACACCTACCAGATAACTGAAATACTTGCTTGAGCAGACGTATTTATTTGTATGTTTGCCTTTTTTTCTCGAGTAAATGGAGTCTTGGAGGGTTACACTAACAACTGTGCTTTTGTATTTGCTATTTATCCAGCACTAGTAAACCACTTTCTCATACCTGTTTTCACATCCCTACTGAACCTTTTCAGTCACACATGAATTCAAGACTTCAGCTCACCTGAAGCCAGACTAGCACGAAACTCTTTAAAGTACTTAAAGACAGCATATGTTAGCTTCCTTTCTTATTGGGAACCGAAAGGAACTTCCAACCAGATAAGGCAGTGTTTCTGAACCTCAGTAAGATGTGTGGACTTCAACTCCCAGGATTCTCCAGCCAGCATCCTGGCTAGGGAATTCTGGGAGTTGAAGTCCACACATCTCAAAGTTGCTGAGGTTGAGAAACAATTAGGAGTACACTGGAAGAACGCTTCAAAGCTGAGAGGGGCTCTTTAAGCCATCAAATCCAACTTCCTGGTCAGTGCAGGAATCCAAATTCAACCATCCCTGACATTTGACAGTTGGAATTTGTCTTCCTGTAATTTAAATCCATTATTTCATGTCCTGCGATCTGGGGCCATATAGGACAGGCCACAGTCTAATTTCATGCATATTTCTGAAGTGGCTACAGCTGAGCTGACTATGGTCAACCAAGAAAGAAAAGATAGCAGATTGCTCAGTGAGGATGACCTGGTGCACAGCAGCCTGTGAACTCTGCTGCAGCATCTGGATGGCCACTGCTGGAATGAGGATGATGGATGAGACAGACTTTTGGTTCAATCTCTTGTGTTTACTGCAATCTGGAGTACCAGGAACAGCATCACAAAATCCTTGTGAATCACTTGGTCCAACAGCTCATGATTTGCATCCTTGCATCAGCACTTCACATGGCAAAATCATAGTTTCGTAGAAATAAGCAACTTGAAACAGACCATGTTTTGAAAAGTGCGTCCCAAGGATTTCCTTAGCCCAGCCTTTGCAATGCAGTGCTCCCCAGAGAAAGCGCCACTCAAATTCCTGAAGAATTTAGGAGTTCTAACATGCTCCGAGAGCACTGGGTGCAGATGGATCTAAATCCAAAATCCGAAAGAGGCAGTGCCTTCTACCTATTGTTACAATCAAGACAACACCTTCTTCCACCGCTAACAGAGCAGCCTCAGACGCACGCCAAGCCACTGGCGGTTAATTTATAATTATTAGTATAATGAATTTACAAAATAAAAATACAGGCAACTGTGTTAAATTATTGTACATTGCAGCCCAGAAAGGTGGTCTCACGTGGGGGAGTGGGGCAGAGTGGGAAGAAGAGGGCACTTTTGCCCCCATTTGGTTTGGTTACGGTAGTTGGGTAACATGGAGAAGCCAACGTATGTACACACTTTAAGGGAACAGAGAGTGTTTTTCTTTTAAATAAATCCATTTGCATAAACATAAAAAATGCTTAATGCTTTCTCCAGCCCGAGGCTGAGGCCATTATCAGCAACACAGCCGAAGGTGGGTAGTTATTGGAACCCCACCGCCCCCTGCTAGCAAAGCCAGACAGGCTTTCAACTGGTATGTATTTTAGCAGAACCGCTTGAATTCTGGACTTTGGGCCAATGCTGTCCCATTCCCCACAAAGGCAGTAAGCAAGGGGGCACCGCACGGAGCTGATGGGGACAGCGTTTCCCAAGCAGGATGCCCTGCGAGCCTGGGGACCAACTCCGAGGCTTTTCAGCAGAGGCCACGAAGCCTGGGGGATTCTCAGAATTGAAATCCACACATTCAGAGGATGTCCGGGCTGGGGAAGGTTGGGCTAGGAGGCAGGATGGATTCAGCAGCTGGCAGCTTTTATACACAGATGAAGAGCCCCCAGAGACATGGCCATTCGCAATGGATGAGCCACAGGACTGGGGGGGAGCACCTCCAGGTACCAAGAGCCAAACCAGACATGGAAAGAACAGCGAGATCAGGTAGAGGGGGCTCCAAACAGGCCTGTCTACTTCTTAGGTCAGCCTTAAACGTTACTGCTCCTGCTCTGTGCATGTTAAGCTTCCCCCTTGCCTCCAGGCCGTTGGTCACCTGAACTCCCCCCGCTCCAGCTCAGGAAGAGAGACCGCAAAGGACTCCAGGATGGGACAGTTCAGCTCCCAGAGCCTATGTAACCCTCCAAGGCAGCCCCTTCCCACCTCCCATTTAGCCTCACCAGCCTGAGCTTTAGTTCTCAATATTCCTTCCCACTGCTTGAACCCACTTTGAGCAGGACAGGTGGAAAAGAACTGAGAGGGCTGACGTGAGGAAGCTGCCTACCTCCTCTCATGCTTCTGCCTTCCAACGTGACTTACGCTGTCCCTGGAGGTGATCCCAATCTCTTGAGAGTAGACAAACTGGAGGAAAGAGGTGACCCCCACCCTCACCCTATTCACCTAGGGAGATTCGAATACCCTCATGCGCAGCCTCTCATTAGTTTCCTATCTCTTAACAAACACCAGGATGGGGGCTGGACTGGGAGAAGGGGCTTCCAAGAGGAAAGATGGCTGGGCTGACACTGAAGCCACCCTCGCCCTGCACTCAGAGACCCCTTGGGACTCAGGGCGGTGAAGGACCCCTGGGCTGGAGCATTTTTATGGGCAGGCTGAAGAACATTTGGTACCCCTTTCCCCCCAGAAATCAGGGGGCCTTGGCAGAGCTGACAAGAGGGGGCAAGCAGTGCAGCTACTCTATGACGCCATCTCTGCAAACAGCCCTCTGCTGTTTTTTGCAGGAGGCATGAGCGTTCCTCCAGAGAGGAGTGGAGCGTGCAGACGTCTGTCCCAGAAAGACCAAGGGCAGGGAGACCTCCTGCCGCAGAGGGCAGCCTTCCTCCTCACTTGCAGCCCATGGCGAGCGTTGGGGCAAAGCAAAATGGCTGCTCTGGAGGGAATCGGAAGGTGGGGTGGACCCTCCCCCCCAGACAAGGCCTCGAAAAAGAGCCACACCTCCTCCTGGGGAGGTGCAGGCTAGCAACATGCATTCAGGGGCACTAAGAGAGGGAAGTGGGGGCCCGGGAGGGAGGGAGGGAGGAAGGAAGGAAGGAAGGAGCAGTCCGGACAAGAAAGGATTACGGGAGAAGAGACACGACCTGGGTGAGTCGCCCACAGACCCCAGCTGCTGCTTCCTGCTGCCGCCGCCCCCGCCCCGCCCTAGAAGGTCTTTCGATGAATGGCCCGGGAGCCGTCCTCCTCGTATTCCTTCTTGGAGACCCACATCTTCTTGAACGTGTCCAGGGAGGCCAGAATAGAGCCCCTGGGGAGAAGACAGAGGAGAGTCAAGGAGCTGGCACATATCCTTGGCAAAACACCCTGGCTGGGCACAGACTTCGCGATGATGTCATCGAAGCCTCGCAGGTGGAAGCAGCAATGGCTGGAGTCAGGCATTGTACTGCACCAGGGGTGGGCGAGCTACATCCTCCCACAGGAGCCAGCCAGTCCTCACCTGAAGCCCCCAGAGCCACCCACAATCAGGACTGAAATGTCCCATCCCTTAGGGGAGTTGAGAGCCAAAATGTGCGCCCTCAGAAGCGAGGGAAGCAAACGGTAACATTTTTAAAAAAGCAAAAAGTCAACCCTCGCCTCCTCCCATAATATCAAGATACCACCAGCCGCAAACTAAGATACAAAAGCAAAATGTGCCCCCTTCTGCACCAAACCATAAGCTGTGGTTTATGAACCAGAAGGGTTGAGTTCATACATCATAACTAAACCAAACCATACTTTTTGGTTTTGCCCAAACCTTTTTGAGGGAATACGAGACTCATGAGTGAGTATCACATCTTTTAGGCCCAACGGAAAATGTTGCAAAAGGGTGGCTGTGTTCGCATAACACGCTGAACCCAAATGTCCTTTGGGTCATCAGTCCTTTGAACTGAAAATGCTCATTTTCAGTTCAGCATGATATGTGAATCCAGTCATGTGCTTTTTGGCTAGACCCAGGTTTACCCAGGGGTTCTCAACCTCTGAACTGCCATCACCCTTAAAATGATGAATGGGCAACTCTCTTACCCATACATTAAACTAATTATTTGCTGGGGTTAGAGGTGGTTGAGAAATAAATGTATCACTTATTTTTAACAATTAAATGTTAAACAATAATAGAGTTTTGCAACTTTATAAAATAAACCTTTTCATTGGAAAAAAGAAACAACCCAAATGAAAACTGTGTTTCGTAACCGGGAGGATGAGTTTGCTTGGTTTTACAAACTGCTGAAATTGAGGTTGTATTTTTGAAACAGCTACTCATTCTTTCTCATCTTGGATCAATATCTGCTCTTTATAGCAGCAAAAATGGAAAATTCAGACTCTGGTGCTGGCTCCTTGGGGCCCAAGAAGAGCAAATTCTGACAGTGATTTAGGTTTGGAGATGATGCCAAAAGTAAAGGTCTTGGCTTATCTGAGGAAAACCCAGACTATGTTCTGACAGGGCTCCAGCTTTTACAACCCCATTCAAGTTTATTCCTCTTCCCCAATTTGAGAATCTCTGGTTTAGGGTGTTGTGTGAACCCACCCAGCTGTGGTTTATCTAGCAGAAGACACTGACTGGATTCACAGACTGCACCTGAACATGGTTTGGTGAATAATTAACCCCCATGGCTGACTTTGCAAAGTGCGCTAAACCAAAACCAAATAAACCAGGTTCTTGTTTAGGAAAGCTGAATCATTATGAAAACTCGACCCAATGAAAACCCTCTCAGTTGAGGATGGGAATGTTCTTACCCAATCCACGTTGAGTATAATCTCTCCTGAGGGGCAGAAATCTGCAAAGAAGTAACACAAGTCAGAGAGGTGATGGAAAAGAAGCATGCTTCCGCCGAGCCCAGGGGCTGCCTTGAGCCCTACAGAACAGCCCTTCCAAACAAGTCAGCCACGACTGTCTCCCCATTGGAACGATGCCCCCTTATGAATGCAACCCCAGAAAGCCCATCCCTTGAAAGCTCAGAGAACTAAGGTTGCATCTTGGGGTCAGAACCCTCCAGGCAGAAAAGGAATGAGCATTACTGACATGCTGAAAACTCTTCGGTTGCTCCAGGAACTACAGTAGAGTCTCGCTTATCCGACATAAACGGGCCGGCAGAACGTCGGATAAGGGAAAATGTCGGATAAGACACAGTAACGATTGAGTGCGGTAAAAAAAGAAGAAGAAAAAACCGATCCGCTGCGCCTGTTGCAATCGATTTTTTCGTTGCGGCGCCACCGTCAGGAGCAACAAGAAAGTACACTCACGCTCGCAAACAAGCGGCACACTTTTCTCATTGCTGATTTATGCGTGGTGTTTTTTTTAGGGGCATCGGATAAGTCGGAATGTCGGATAAGCGAAGGTCGGTTAAACGAGACGCTACTGTATTTGATTCTATACAAGAGCTGCAAAATGGTGAAGCTCCTGGCCCGGATGGCTTTTCGGTGGAATGATATAAGGCATTTGCCAGTCTGTTGCCTCCTATACTTTTGGAGGTATATAATGAATCTTTTGAGGATGGTCAATGGTCACCATCATTTTATGAGGCATATATAAGGTTGATTTTAGAACCAGGTAAGGATTTTGCCCAACTTCAAACTGAATTTGGTCATTCCAGTTCACAACGGTGGTGGTGTCTTCGACTTAAGGATGTTCTAATGCAGTGTTGTCCAAACTTGGCCACTTTAAGATGTGTGGACTACAACTCCCAGAATTCCCCAGCCAGCATGCTTGCTGGGGAATTCTGGGAGTTGTTGTCCACACCTCTTAAAGTAGCCCAATTTGGGCCACACTTCAATAGAACATCCTTA